AGACTTAATGCAGCGAAGACTTTGAAGGAATTCATCAGGTGGGCACCCAAGATTACTGGAACCAAATCAGTATCCAACCAAATGTGAAATACAGTCAAAATATCTCCTTCTGTTTATGGATGATGTGGAACTACAACATTATTGTTGGTTTCTGATGTCACAATAAAGCGGACCTTCCACCTTTTGGCTATGTCAAATGGCGATGGCGGCGGCATAGACGCAGCGCCCCCTTCAGGAGACAACCAAAGTGAATGTTTTGAGTGTCTTGTCTATCCCAGACGTTCATTCCACAAAACTTGCTGCCGGGAGACTTTGCTGGGCGTCAGGACAGTGAACGGCGCTGGAATTGCAGCGATCGGTTGTGACGTGGACAAACTACACCAACATGGAGTCCGATCAGAGACTACACTAGCAGCTAGCCGAGAGAGAAGGAAGGGAAAACGGTGCGAATGTAAACAAAGGAGGAGGAAGTGAGCCGGGATCCATGCTAGGCTAAAGGCTAACCCCTCCAGACCAGCAGGACCATCCTCCTACTCTCCAATGTCCGCTCCCTCCACAACAAGCTGGACGTTTGCTGAGAGAAACCCTCAGAGAGTGGAGGGACTGCTGTGTGTCTGCTTTAACAGAAACATGGCTCCATGACAACATCCCAGACGGACAGACAGCTGGAGGGGATGCAGACAGACAGACAGCTAGCTCTGGGCAGCATCCACAGCTTCACCATCATCACACCATCATGTGTGTCTTTGTGTCCCTGAAGACCTACCAGGACCTGAAGAGGTTCACCATGTTCAACGAATGGCGGCGCGCATGGACGCAGCGCCCCCTTCAGGAGACTGAACGTTTAGTGTCTTATCCCAGATGTGCATTCTGCAAAACTTACTTATTAAGTGGTCATGAAGAAACGCTCTCTCATCTTGCCTGTACTACTGTGTATGTATGAGGAAATGACAATAAAACTGATTTGATTTGAGTCATTGTATTTGATTAGACTTTTGTGTGAAATTTTGTTAAAATCAGCATCTGCCAAGAGGTCACAGTAATGTTTGACCACCAAAATCTAATCAGTTCATCTTGAAGTCCAAGTCAACGAATGTATAAAATGAAGAAATTCAAAGTGTGTCTGATATAGTAAGTTCCTAAGAATGAGATGGGTGTCAGTGATCTTAACCTCATCTGAAGAAATTCTCTTAAGGGTTCCTAAAAGATCACGATCAGATCTACATGTTTTGGGATTTCACTGTAACCCTCGACCACCCAAAACCTGATCACTTCAT